CTCTCTCTAAAAATAAATAAAATCTTTTTAAAATAAAGAAAGGAAAATAGCTCCCCAAAAGTAAAGAAAAAATAAAAATATTAGCTTCATGTACTAGAATCGACAATTCTGATTAGGTTGTTATCAATATCTAATAAAAGCACCAGGGAACAGGATACCACTGAGCTTGATCCTTAGACATTGAAGTATGATTTTTTTTTTTTAAAGTTGCTATGAAAGTTCCCTGAATATTAGTTTCTGTATCATTTTTTTCTTTAAGAAGCTAAAATGCAGAACCTCTGAATAAGGATGAAAACTTGAGCCCATGGTTTTCTTTTTTTAAAGTGAAAATTATGCCAGGCAGTGGGGCCAGGACTTGGGAGCTGGTGGTGAAAGAAAACCCTTGATTGCATCGTGGTGCTTGGACCGTTGCCAGGGGCAGCTGTCACTCAGTGGCACAGAGGGGGAAAAAGAAAAGGAGGACAAGAAAATGATGCATTCATGGAACTACAAGAGCAGCTTTAAATATCTGTTCTTGTCATGCTCTCCCGAGTCAATTTTTTTTTGGCTAATACTTAAATTTAAGAGAAAGGGCAGATTTGAATCTTTTCTAGAAAAGGAGTTGGTAGAAAGTCCTAGGATGGTCTTGCATTGAAAATGTTCACATTAGTTTTCTATAAAGCAAGGACAAAGGTTAAGAAGGCATTTTTAAACTGGTTGAAATCCTTTGCCCCAGTTATACATTTTGTTTATAAAGAACGCCTACCTTTTTCTGGAAAGCACTCCTCCTGTCATTGATCCAATCACATTTTTCACACATCGTTCATAGGTGATACTTTGAGGAAGGACATCTGACCCAGGCTAGGATAATCAGAGATCTCTTAAAGGATCTGTGAGTTGCACAGCAGACAGATGTCTCTTTAGAGGCAGACTTGGGATTTGGATGCTGTCAACTTTTATTATTTTTTATTTTAGAGAAACATCATGCTTATTTGTGCATTCACTGGTTGCTTCTCGTATGTGCTCTGACCAGAGATGGAATCTGCAACCTTGGCGTATGGGGAAGATGCTCTGAACAACTGAGCTACCCTGCCGGGGCTCCCCAGCACTTCTGTCCAGGTGACCAGTTCCAGAGGAGAGCGCCAACAATCAGAGATGGCACTCTTAGCGCTGTGCCAGTCCAGGGTTCCTGGTATCCTCAGGTTTACAGTGGAGGTTGGCTGTCATATTTACCTGGTCCTTATTAAGTACCAGATATTCATCCCTAGGTATTTTCATGTTTCTCACTTAACCTTGAAAATCCCACGAGAAAAATACCATCATTATCATCTTCCCAGGTTTATAGACAAGAATACTGAAGCAGAGGGAGTTCAAGTAACTATAAGAAATAGCTGAGTTGGAAAAAAAAAAAAGAGGAAAAAGATCATTAAAAAGAATAGCTGAGCTGGGACCCACATCCAGAGTCAAATCCAGAGCCAGTGCCCTGAACCACTGTTATGTTGTCTCTTGGCCAGTGATGCCCTTAGCAAAGCAAGTTTGAGTTGGCTGTCTCCTACATTCAGCCAAAAGATGTAACATGTCTTGTAGGACTACTAAGTACAGTTGACCCTTGAGCAGAGGAGTTGGGGCACTGACACTCTCCTAACCCCATACAGTCAAAAATCCACGTAGAACTTTTGACTCCCCCAAAACTTTTGGTATTCACCGGAGATTGATTCAAGTCCAGGTGAATCAAGTCCCCCCACCGCCCCCAGGATACCCAAATCTGCGGATGTTCGAGTCCCCTATAAAGATAGCGTAGATGGACATGTACAATGGACTTCTGCAGGTCCCCAACTACAGACTAAAAACAGTCCAAGTATTTACTGAAAAAAAATTCTGTGTATGTGGACCTGCGCGGTTCAGACTGAGTTGCTCAGGGGTCAACTGTAATAAACTAAGGAACAAAAGGAATACCTCAATCTAAGTGTCTCCAGAGCCACTTGACTTTCCCCCACCTCAAGCTTCTCTTCCCCTTCCCACTAACTGCATTTTCATCCATCCATGATGAAATGACATCTTGGAGTCTCTGGTTACATTTCTCCCCAACCTCCACGTCACCTCATTTTTTATCCCGAACCATGTTATTCTGCAAACACATATTGGGGAAAACCCTGTTTTCTAACCAGTTCTTCTCTTTATTCCCAGTCAATGTCCTCGAGTTCAAGTAAATAGCCCAGAAGGTCAAGTAAATTGACCTTCTGTAACCTTTTCAGTTTCCTCCCCTGTAAAATAGGGTCCATCATACCTACCACCCCACAGGGCTATTCTGAGGATTAAATAAGAATAATGTGTGAAAAATACACTTAGCACAGTAGTCCACAACTGTCAGGCATTTCTTCCAAGAACTAAGTCAAGTCTCACATGTGCTCATGGAGATTTTCATTACATTTGCTTTTATAGCAAAATCCTGAGTTGTAATAAAAAAATGGAAACTTCAAAAATGAATACAATTTCTATTTTTGGACTTTTCCAGTGGATCTATACGATTGCCTGCAGAAATCTTTCACCATAAAATAAATGCTTAACACACACACACACACACACACACACACACACACACACACAATCCCACCCCAAACCCCAACAACCCTCAATCCCCAACAATTCTCAACCCCCCTCCTTAATTATTCTTTATTAAGAGGTAAGTTAACGATTGTCATGTACCTGAGAAGCGCAGCATATTCACAGGGGAGGCTACATTCAGAAGAGAGATCAAGCTGTAAGTAGTACTAACAAGATAGATTGGCACCTACGACAACTTCCTTGATTATACCAAATCACCTACTGGATTGTATTTGATTAAAATTGTGGTAAGTTTTTAAAATTGCTCCCCATGTTCAGTGAAAGCTCCTTCTTTCAACGCAGTTAAAAGAGACTAAGATCATATGGGCTACGTACAAATACATATACCATTCATACTCCACACTCCAGAGATTCTTATCTTTGGCTTGACACCCAATTTTCATACCAGTTTAAACAAAAATTATGTACACTGTAAAAGTCAAATATAATGTAAGAGAGCCATTCAGCCTTTTCCCTTAAAACACACATCTACACACACACAGAGAAGTGTTAGAAGTAAAATTAAGCACCATGCATTAGCCTCCTGGGGAATGTAGCCAATACAGACGAGGCCAGCCAGAAGCCCAGTGGGATGTTTAAGACAAACAAAACGGAACCTGAGCTGTTTGTTCTTTGTATGACAGCAACAGAAAAGGAAAATATAGTAACAATCAAGCTCAAGCTCATGACTTCCTCACATTTTGTTTCCAACACATATCTTCACTGCTTGCTTAAGGTTCGAGAACTTGAAAGGACAGGGAGACAATACATTTAAAGGTCTTAACAGTTCCCCTGAGAGACTACTTCCCCTTACGGACTTTTACACCTCTCCACCACTGTCTGTGGTGTTGGCTACACAAGCGCCCTGTGCAGCACGGGGTCCTGTCAGAAGCACCAAGAACCAATCTCTGGTTTTCTCTGGTTTAGAAACAAGGGACATTCGTTTACCCTCGGTTACAAAAGGAAAGCACATGGTCAAGGGTGGGGGCAGGCAGTAGTGAGGGATCACGATGTTGAAACTTCAGAGACTTTAATCATAGCTCGTTTATAATAAACTCCAGGTCAGTGTCAGTTTGACTCAATGGTATTAAACGCAGGGATCTTGCCAAACCAAAATTTGTCCAGGTGTTCAAACAGATCGAGGCCCTTAATGAAAAAGTTTTATCAGCTGGTTAACTTTTTTTTGTTGTAGTGGTGTATGATTATTTTCTTTGATCCATAGGATTAGGGAAACTTGGCTACGTACACATCTGACTTCTTTACTTTGATATTAATGTCCACACTGGAAAACAAAACCAGAAGCCTTCACCATGCCCTGACCAGTATGGCTCAATTGGTTGGAGCATAGTCCTGATGGGAGAACTCAAGAGTTGAAAAATTTTAGTTTTATTTAAAAAAAAAAAGATTTTGTTTTTAGACAGAGGGGAAGAGAGGGAGAAAAAGGTAACATCAGTCAGTGTGTAGTTGCTTCTCTTGTGCTACCTACTAGGGACCTGGCCTGCAACCCAGGCATGTGCCCTGACTGGGAATTGAACCAGCAACCCTTCAGTTCACAGGCTGGCGATCAATCCACTAAGCCACTAAGCCACACCAGCCAGGGTGGAGAGTTTTAGTTTTAATAAGTTAATAAGCTTAGTAATTAATGCATGTAAAAAGCTATTGTCTCAGGAACTGAAGGTATAACCCACCCTGACTCCAGAAGACCACGAGCAGTTCCACCTCTGCCCCAGGAGGACTGCAAGTCATCAAGACGGCGTCTGAGCCGCTGTGCTCAGGGTGAGATGCCCGCCTCCTTGACCCTAGTCCAGTGAGACCAATTTCGGACTACTGACCCCCAGAACTGTTAAAATAGTCAATTTGTTGTTTTAAGCAATTAAATTTGTGGTATTTTTTTTCCTACAGCACCAATAAGAAACTAATACAACATAAAGAAAATAAAATTGTTTGCAGAAATGCTCTTACTAAAGTTGAAGGCAAGGTCATTAAATTTCTGATATGAACAGGTTTGTATCATCTAAGAACCCATTATTTAGAGTAGTGTACGCCTGTTAGGAGAAAAAGTGTATTAGCATAGGTATAATTATTTTTCTTAAAGTTGAGGTGTAACTGGCATAAACATTGTTAGTTTCAGGAATACAACATGGTAACTCAGTGTTTGTGTATGTATCGTGAGATGATTTCCTTTTCTCCACGCAGATTTTGGAATCAGCAGAAACAGATCTAGCACTAAAGGGTTGGTCCTATCAGAAGATGTTTTTCGGATGGCAGTGGTAACAAACTACAATAGATTCTAGGTACCAAAAGTCGACATTAAACTCTTCTTTCTCTCCCCACAAGAAAACATTTTGTAGAAACATGTCTATGGGTGTTTCCACTCCCACTACAAAACAGGTAATCAGATAAAGAGGCTAACCACATAAAGCAATATAAAACTATTTATTGACCACTGTTTACCAGTATTTACAATAAAGTAAACAATATACAGTTGGATAACATTCTGGTTACTACAAAGTCATTGTTTTTCCTGGCTTCTACTGAACCGGTAACCCAAACACTGAGCCTGAGCCTACATGTAAGGAATGAGTTGGAGTAAAACATGCAGGTCAAGACTACAGATTACAAAAGTTTGTTCACCCATTTATTTCAACAGGTTTAAATTGCCAAGGTCTTTAGTAGTCTGATTAGGCTTCCATGAATAAAGTCTTACACATTCCATGATCATAACCTTTTGGTCAATGTAACACAAGAATGTTAACTTTTGTAAATGAACAGCTTGCTAGGCGAAACCTTTAAGTAAGTCTTGCCTGTCTAATTAAAACATACCAGGGTTTGTCTAATTTTCTCATTTGAGAGAGGAAGTTTTTGGTAGTAATAAAATTTTCCTTTCAGGTGTTTTGCAAATAAATTTGCCTTTATAATTGTAGATATGGCCACGGATTCTGATATGGCTGCTTTTAAATTGTCCAATTTAAACTGCTCATATTATATTTAAATTGCCCAATTAATTACAAACTATTTAATTTCAAAGGTTAAAGCTTCAGGAAAAATTTCAATTTAACTTGAAGTGATTTATTTCTTAGATTGCTGAAAATGATGGCGGCCCAGAAACATGAGCTTATCTATGGTTGTGAAATGCTGTTTTTCTTTCAGTTAAAAAAAAGAAAGAAAACCATTTAAATTTACATATGTATACACACCAACCACCCCCCACCAAATAAACAAAAACCCCCACAATGATCCTGAAGTATATATGACTTAAACAAAAATTCTGACTGAGTAACAATGGAAGTTGACCCCAACATTTAGAAAAGCTGTTCTCTAATGCAGAGGAAAGAATATACCATGGTATCAAATGTTTTCTGATAAAGGAAGCAACTACAGAAAGCTTTTGTTCCAAAGTAACCAGTGCTACAGATGCACCCCCCAACAACACCACCCCCAGTACTACTTTAAAACAAACATACCAAACTTGATTTTTATTAGAATGTAGTTATCTCTTCACACTAATAAATCAAAAAATCCAAGACCCAGGTTTTTATATATATAAATATATATAAAAAGCAACAAAAACAATTATTGGGCTTCGTCTTCTGGACAAGAATGCCAGGTTAGTCTCTCTTCATAAAAAGCAATTACAATTTGAGGACACTTCATATTTGCCTCTTTTGCCAGCACCAAATCTGCCTCGTCTGAATCTTTCCTGTTGTGAGGGGGGGGGGAAAATTCAGTTAAAAGTATAAACGCTTTTTGTCAAATAAGAACTGTTCATTTAAAGAAATCACAATCTAATCAAAGTTACTTAATGCTTCAAGAAGGTTATGTGGTACTTGGGCCAGGGTTCCAATGAAATTTCATTTTACGAACAAGCCAGTTTGCCAATCTGTGCTTTTAAATATCATTAGCAAAAGTAACTAGAATTATCCTTTAATCAGAGAATTATTCTCTATCTAATGATGGAAACTATAAAACCTTTTCTAGATAAAGTCTCACAAAATTTAAAGCATGCCCTTCCGTTTATACTTTATAAATATAACAACAATCCCCCACACACTTACCATTTCATGAGAAACATTAATTCTCCACTGCTGTCCGTGGCACCAATTATTCGTTCAGGATCAAGACCTCTGGCAAAGCCTCTTGGTTTATCAGCCTGTTTAAAAGAGGGGTTAAATGATTATTTACATAAATGTTTCCACACATCAGACAATGTTAACTTCCAGTTTGTCTTCATGATATATACCTTTTAAATAAAAACCTTCCAGTTGCGAAACACAAATGACTAGAACTTAGAGCATATTTAGTGCTAAAGCACACTGTAATTTTCATTAACCTTACATGTAGAAAAAACAAATGTTAATGTCTAAAGTATTCTGAATCTAAAGTTAACTAATCTTTATTTCTGATAATGCTAATCAATAATTATAAAAACTGTAAAACACAAGATTAATTATAAGCAATCATAGGAAACCTTCTAAAATAAATATACAACAGTGATTCTCAGTGTACGGTCTGAAGATTACTGGGAATCCCTGAGACCTTTTGGAGGTGTCTGTTTATCCATAAGGTCCCCTCATTTCATGTATCTGACTCTAGACTGTCTTGACATGCCTCCACCAAACACAGCACAGCAAATACAATACAGAGCCAGAGAGTGAAAAGATTTACAAAAATATAAAACGCCACCCCTCACATTTTGTTATCTTTCACCACTAATTATGAATAACATGGAATGGGTTTTGTCATTCTTGTGAAAATATTTGTGAAAACACAAATATTTTAATTTCTACTAGTTATTTATAGCTATAAAACACATAAACAAAAGTTCATTGGGATCCTCAATAATTTTCTGGACATTGAAAATGTTTAGGAGCTGCTTTTATCAACAAATCCCTTTTCCCTACCCAGATTTTTATATCAACATCCCAGACTCTGGAGTCAGATGCCTAGGCTGGTTAGAATAATGGTTCTAACCTTCTAACTGTGTGGCTGTAAGCAAGCTCACCTTTTTGTGATTTAGATTACCTATGAAACAGAATATTGGGTTGGCCAAAAAGTTTGTTTGTTTTTTTTCCTAAGATGACTCTAGTAGACTTAGTTGTCTTTAACTTCAAAGTTTTGTTAGATTGTATTGTGAAGGCTGTCATATCAGCATTGGTCAATTTCTGTGTACTCGTAAAATTGAAGATGGAAGAAAACACGAAACATTTTTGGCATATTATGCTTATTTCAATAAAGGTAAAAATGCAACTGAAATGCAAGAAAAGATTTGTGCAGTGTATGGAGAAGGTGCTGTGACTGACTGAACATGTCAAAAGTGATTTGCCAAGTTTCGTGCTGGAGAATGCTCCACAGTCGGGCAGACCAGCTGAAGCTCACAGCGATCAAACCAAGACATTAAAACAATTAATGTTATACCATGTGGGATAGAGAGCAAACATACTCAAAATATCCAAGTCAATAGTGTTATTGGTGAAAATGAAAAATGTCTTATCTTATGGAAAAAACTAAAGAAACCCCTTGGACAGTGCTTCTGTTGAGCATGTGGTTGACTTAAATTATATACAGTAGTCAATCCTCCTTTATCTGCTCAAGAAAGCATGTTCAAGACCCAATGGATGCTTGAAACAGCAGATAGTACTGAAATCCCATACACTGTTTCCCCTGTATTACATACCTATGATAAAGTTTAGTTTATAAATTAGGCACAGTAAGAGGCTAACAATAAAATAGAATGATAACAATTCTCGCCCTTCTTGTGACGATGTGAGGTGGCACAATGCCTATGTGATGAGGTGAATGATGTAGGCATTGTGATGTAGCGTGAAGCTACTAAAGACCTTGTGATGATACATCAGGAGGAGGATCATCTGTTCTGGGTGATCCCGGACCACTGAGCCATGATGAATGGATGTCAGGAGCAGAGAATATTGGGGAAAGTTAGCATTTTTGAAACCCAGTTGACCATGGGTAACTGAAAAGGTGAAATCTAGTGTATACTGATCAACTATGTTACTTTTTAGCTTTGGCTGCTAAAATATCTATCTAAAACCAAATCTTTATCCAACCTGTTTTTCATCTGTAAAACAGGGATAATACCTGTAACTTTACCTGTAATTTAGAGATGTCATGAAGATTTAATGCAGTATCTGTAAAGTACATGGCATCTACCTCAAATGATCTCTCATTTTAAATCCAAAGATGTCATCAAGAAATGTGTCTTGCCCTGGCTGGCGTAGCTCAGTGGATTGAGCGTGGGCTGCGAACCAAAGTGTCGCAGGTTCGATTCCCAGTCAGGGTACAAGCCTCGGTTGCAGGTCATGACCCCCAGCAACCCGCACACTGATATTTCTCTCTCTCTCTCTCCCTTCCCTCTCTAAAAATAAATAAAATCTTAAAAAAAAAAAGAAAAGAAATGTGTCTTGTATGCTTAGTGTCCAAGTCTAAATACCAATTCAGAACCAAGACCCTTTCCCAAATTGCCATGCCCAGTGCTCAAGGCAAACATAATTTGTCTTGAAGCTGAGGGCAGAAGCAAAGAATTGTATGGTTAGCCCAAAGCCACAGAGATACCAGCAAAGCAAAGGCTGGATCAAAACATACATGCAGTGAATAAATCAACTGTCTCAATTTATGCCAATAAAAAAATGTTATTATCAAAGATTACACACCTCAAAACTAAAGTATTATCAGGTAATACTTTGGTAATACAAAGATCACAAGCCAAAGTATTATACTTCCTTGTGGTTAGTGTCACTAACGGCCAACAATCAGGATGTGCTATGTGGACTGTTTTCACTCAGTTGAAAGAAATTTCAATGATCTAATATTAATGTTCTCTGTACTTAGGACTGCTAGTCTTGGATCATAGGAAATTGTGTGATCAGGTACTATATCCATGAATCTAGCACAATTACGGTGGCATAAACACTGTATTTACACAAAGTAGGCTAAGTCATACCTATCTCCTTTGTCCTGAATATTAAGCACTTAGTCTTGTAAATATTTTAATAGTATTAAAACTTTTAAAATGTCCTAAAAGTATTTTAAAAATTGAGCTAGCAACCCTTTACAAAAAGCCAGTTCTGTGGGCAATATTTTATACTTACAGCATCTCTTTTCTTCTTTGATTTGCTATCATCAGATTCACTGTCAGATAAAGACTTTCTTTTTGTTCCATCTTTTTCTTTACCAGCTTTTTGAGAATTAAGAAATGCTTCAATTAACTCTGGACAATCTAAATTTTCTTCAGGTTCCCAAGTATTGTCAGCACTGCATTGAGTTAAAAAAAAAAAAAAGTTCATTCAATTAAACATAGCTTACCACCATCCAGATTTATTTTGTATCTGAAAAGTCCTCTGTGCTAACCATTTTTCCCCATCCCTCACATTCTTTTGACACAGTCTGATCGCACTTCCCTCCTTTGTGTCTTCTTTCCCAGTCCCTACCCAAGGGGCCAATCTGTTATATCACCCACAGGTTAACTTAACCTGATTTCTAACAGAAACAAGCCACCTCAGAATTTCTCTGGAAGGGTTTTAAAAAAACTGTGATTCCTAACTCCCACCCTAAATTACTTTATCAGATTAATCAGAATACAGGAAGGGTCAGAGCCTCCAACAATGTGCTTTAAAATAATCCTGAAGCGTTTTCAAACGCGGGACAGTCCTTCAATTTCTGCTGAGCGCTCGCTCAAACTGGGAAAAGTGATAAAGAAAGGGCTGGCAGCCCGAAAGTCAAATCCAGCCTTCTATATGGCTGGCTAACTAAGAATGTTTTATCCACTTTTTACTGGCTGAAAAAAAAAATCAAAATGGAAATTAAAAATTTGAATTTCAGGGCCCATAAACAAGGGCTGGAAAGAAAATATTCATTACCAAAAGTGAAAGTAAGATCATCCTTCACTAGTGATAAGCTTGTGAACTTTGTGTGCTCTAATCCCAAAAGCCTTTATACAAGATCGAATGAAATCAGTCATTTTACAAATGCTGGAAAAGGTGCTAATATTAACCTCTGGTTACAATTTGGTCTGCTGATATTCCCAGATCCCCAAATGGGCAAAGGAAAATTAGAGGGTAAAGAGGACAAAAGAGCTGAAGTGGAGCCCCCATTCTGTAGTGTTCTTGTCAAATACAGCCTTCTACACTACCTAATACACTGTACCACACACAGCAGATTCTCAACCATTCTAGGGGTTGTAAGTTTGGGGAGAAAGGGAGGAGTTAGTTTCCTAACATTTAATGGGTAGGACATTCAGCTTTTACTGTCCCTTGGGTTTACAAACAAACAATAAAACCAAGTGTCCACCACATCAGGGTTGTCAGTTCTTTGGCAAACTGGTTAAATCTAATTTAAAAATAGTTCAGACTCATTTGCTTGGTTCAGCTATCTAGGGGAAAATTATGAACTTATGATGTATATGTAAGCTCAATTCAAGTTATTGGAAACATAAAATAGGAAAACCTAAACCTTCCATTCAACTCATACTTCCCAAATTGCTACGGAGGTTGCTTTAAAATTTGAATGGCAGAGGCAGTAAATTACAGATAGCTGAAACCTAATAATTAGACTATTGTACTCCTCATCTCTACCACACTCACAGATTTTTATAGATCTCTACCTATCCATTATCAATAGTTGCTGCCCATGGAGCCTCACTGTTTTTGTGGTGTAAGACAGAAGAATCCAAGCAGATTAGCAATGATAAACAGTATAATTTCTGCATGTAAGTTATTCACAAGGCAGCTTAATATTAAGAGCAGTTATGAGAACAACTAGTCACAAGGAACACGAGGGAACCAGTGAGTTTAAAAAAAAAAAAGCCCCGACTTGATTTCTTAGAGATTAGGACACAGTAAACCTAGTGTGAGAACTGGATCATAATGAGCACTCCTGTTTAAGATCCACAGGTTTACATTATATAGCTTCCATGTTTTTTAGTACCCTCTTTATGTAGATAAGTGATACAGATTAGGTATTCTAATTAGTACAGTATTCAGCTACATTAAAGTGCATTACATAGTAAACTATACAGTAATTTTGTAAGTTTGACTTTCCAAGGTTATCAATTAGTTTTAAATTTGCTTGGCTCAACTACAGGCTAAAACCTTGGTTCCTTTTAAATAGATCTCAAACAAGCTACTCTGGATTAAAGGTGTCTTGAAATTTAAAGAAACCTATGGGAAAACTGATAAAAGATATCAAGTTAAAAACAAGCTTTAAATACCACTTAAGCGAAGTTTAACGGATAACAAAAGGGATTTACTTACTCTGTGAATCCCTTCCACTTCAGGAAATACTCCACCTTCCCATTCACTACTCGTCGGTCCAATACTTTTTCCACTACAAATTCTTCAGGCTCTGCCTCCTCAACTTTTTTACTCTTCCCATTCTGTTTCTTTCCCATTTTTTGCTAAAACAAAGAATTAAGAAACATCTTGTTTTTATTTTGGGATACATTTTAATATATATCCCAAAGGCTACACTTTAAAGGCTAAATTAAGCAATTGCTAAATTAAGCAATTATTGTTGAATTTGGTATCTAGATTTTTACTTCTATATCCCTGGGTAGACACCTTCTGAAAAAATAAACGCCAACAGATAACCAATAAAAGAAACACTTAATTCTGCTAGTTTAGCTTAAACCTATCACCCACCACCTTTCTATGGAAAAATACAATCAAAACCACTATGTGGAAAATACTGTTATCTTTCCCTAGTCTTATTTCTATTTGGTCTACAAAACCATGTTCACTAGTTTTCATTCTACAACACAGCTGCAAACATCTAGGACAGGGGTGCCAGGATGTCAAACTCATTTTCAATGGGGGCCACATCAGCCTCGCCGTTGCCTTCAAAGGGACAAAATAATTTTAGGACTGTATAAATTTAACTACTCATTAACTGTTAAGGAGTTGAAATTACATTTGGCTCTTTGAAGGCAATGGTGAGGCTGATGTGGCCCCAGGTGAAAATGAGTTTGACACCCCTGCTCTAGGAGGTATCAGAACATTAGAGAAAGAAGTAACAGGTGTTACTAAGTGAACAATAAACCGATTGAAATCATAATATCCCCCAAACTCGAAGACCACCTTTGCCAATTCAAACACAATGTTAAAAGCCTCAACAATATAAAAAAAGGTTACCTACAAGAATAAAAACATGGTTCAGTATCCTGGTGTCAACTGCAGGGTCAACCAAGGAGATGATGAATAGTTTAAAAAGAACGAGATCATTTTTTCCATATTTCTGCTGACAATATGTTACGTTACTGACCACTTGGAACAAAGCTATAATGCTGTCATTTCAAGAAGCAGAAATACTGGATCATTTTAATTTTGTGGCAAAAACAATCCTTTTGTCTCTCAAGAGTCTAAACTGGTAGCCAACAAAATTCACTTTAAACAAGTTTTAGCCCAGAGCAGGGGTGTCAAACTCAATTTCACCAGGGGCCACAACAGCCTCATGGTTGCCTTCAAAGGGCTGAAAGTAATTTTAGGCCTGTATAAATGTAACTGCTCCTTAACTAGGGGCAAAGAGCTCAGCGCTGCTGCAGGCAGAAACAAGGTGCCAGGCCAGATGAAACAAGGTGGAGGCTGATTCGGCTCAAGGGCCTTGTTTGCCACCTGTGTTTGCCGCCTAGCGTGTGTGTGCTTTTTCAAGTATAACACTATTTCAGAGGAGACCAAACTCAATCCACCACTTTCTAATAACTCAGATTTGTTACAAGACTGAAAAGGAGTAAATCTTTAAAACCCCACAAAACGAAATGGTTAATTAGAAGAGACTAAGAGGAGAAAATCCCAAGTGTTATACTCATTTCATCTTAGAACATGTGCTATTAAAAAAATTAAGTCTTTTATCACCCGATCACTAAAATTGTCCCTCAATACAGCATGTAGAAAAATATTACAGCAATGACACATCTGCAAAAGAACATTAAAATTATGTAGTCATTTAGAAGTACACACACACATTACTTGGGCATTGCACACAGTCAGGTAATTTTCTGCTTCTGTACAGTACAAGGAAGGTAGGTGTATGGTAGTGGGGACAATAAAGAGCAGTTGGTGTAGACAAAAGCTTATTAGATACTGATCCTAAATGACAAGCAAAACAGCTAGGTCTGTGAAGGTAGAAGATTAACAGAATGAAGAGGATGACCAAAACAAACAAACAAACAAACAACAGAAAATGAAAAGGACAAACCCTAAGCTTAAGAAAAACTGGCATAAAAAAATGTATGTATTGCAATAGCACGAGCTAGTTTGAAGTGCTTCTTAAAAAAAATCCACCCACTTTCCCAATTTAAATTATAGCACCATTATCTCATAACACACATGAAATCATTAAAAAAATTGTGTGCAGAAGCAATTCAATTTTAATAGACATCTATTTGCTTTCGCTATATCCATTCTCAAAGCACCAGGCACAGCTAGTTCCTTTTCCATCCAATACCTAGACACAGGTAACTAACTATAAAACCAACTCAATTATATACACTTTGGTTTACTGATTATGGATTTTGAAGGATAGTCTACCTCTGAAGGGGCACAGAATACACTTTGTGCTTTTTCCACTAATGGCTTTGATGAATGCTACAGAGACTATTACAGAGACAATTGGTGCTATAGAGACTCATCAGACAGGCCTTTTCTATTTCCTATTTCCCAAGATGTTTCATTTAAATGTGCAATCTAATGATGACACAAATTATAAATTACAAACGTGCTCCTTTTAGCGTGGAATCCAAGGGGAGAACTTACAGACCAAAACCAAATGCTTTCCTTTATTCACATATTAACACTCACCTTTACATGCTTGTGACTACTATTAATGCAGTGTGTTAGAATTAACTGCTGTGGGAACCATAACTTTGAATTTCACAACTCTCATGTGAATATTCTAGTGTTTACTGAAGCCTAAGAACACAAACTTTGGGTTTAAGAAACAAAAAAAATTAACCACTCAGAAGTTCCATAAGGCCTACTCTTCTCTCCTTCCTGGACACATGTGCAATTTGGTACATTCTGGACATATAAAAAAACGAGCAATGACTTAAATTTAAGGCCCTTCTATAATTCAGAGTTAAGTCTGAGATATGACAAAGTGCCCAAGCATTTGAAAGATTCAATGAGTTTTGTGCCAGTGTATTGTACAAGGTACTTTTTTCGTTAAACCGAGCAATACGGCAAATACTTGATTTCTCCAGAACTCAGTAGAGTGAATTAGGTGATAGTATGCCAATCAACAAGGCCTTTACTGCTTTGTCTGCCCATGCTTGTATCGTATTCCTTCAAGTACATGAATTTGTTGTCTTTCACTTCATGATAAATATACTTAATGTTCATACTATGCTATTGTATCAAGATTACGTTTCTTTACTTTAATCAAGATACTATTAAGCCAAGTCTATTAAGTATCTCAATGTAATAATCTCGTTTTTGCCCCCAATTATCCCCATAACATTGGGCAGGGGGAAGGGCACTGGAGAATATAAACGAATGTACATTTGTCAACCACTGAGATGTAAAGTTATAATTTCCGGGGGAAAACATTTGAGTTAGATCCTTACATATTTAGGTTCTTATTAACTTACCAATGTAGTTTTATTGGAGGCCATTTTTATTGCAGACTTGTAGAGCTATTACTAGAAAAATGCATGACAGTTAAAAGGAAGTTTGCATGACACAAAAAGGTAACTACACAAGTTTTGTTTGGATTCCAATCCCCATCTATGTAACCCATATTACCAAACATGCATACCAATTCAGAGAAGCAAATATAAACGGCATTGTTATTAGATATAAGTTATTAATAAGTTATACTGCCTGAGTGTATCAGCATTCTAACCAAGTAGGTCTAGAAACCTTACTAGAGACATTGGTCCCTAAGACAGCTTTTCAGGACAAAAAATAGTAAGTAGACAGTTTCTTTCTAATCCAAATCCCCTATACAGCATTTATTCTAAAATGGCCAAATATTTTGGTTGAAAAATCAAACACAAGTACCCAATGAAAACGGTAAAATACCGTGAATTTTTCCTTAGGCCTCTAACAATCATTAAGAGTCACCTGGGTAATTCCAACTTGTTTTTTTTCTCGGAAACCCTCCCTCTTTACAGTCCCTCGTTTAAAAAACTGAAGGAAAAACACACCAAGATGCTTCAGTCCCATTTCGTGCCACTTAAAACAAAAACAAAAAACAAAAACACCTCCTCGGCACGTCCATTCCCTCGCCCTGAAACCCGGGTCTCTCTCCGCCTAACGAAGCCTAAGCACCCGGCCCCGCCCCCCCCAACCCCGCAGCCCGGGCCTCGTGGTCAGCGCATCCGCGGGGAGAAACAAAGGCCGCGGCGCGGGGGTTCAAGGGCACTGCGCCACGGGGCCCGCACCTCCCCCCTCCTGGCGGCGGCCACGTAACGGAGCGCCCGCTGCAGCCTCCGGACAGTGGGCCGCGCAAATGCGTGAGAAAATGCACCGCCCTCACGAAGAGGCCCCTGCAGCCGACTAAACCCGGGAGAGGGAAACGGGCCTCTCATTTTGCTCGGGAATGGGGGAGGGGAGAAGCAAAGGCGCTTTGTCTAAAAATAAGGCGGCTGTCGCCCCAGCTCTCTACCCTCTCAAGGGCAGTGTTATCCCAACAAACTACGAGCGCCCGCCCCGTGCCCCGCGTTGGGATCTCGGCTCGCCTCCCCACTTCTCTCCCCCTCCCCCCACCTCCGCGGTCGGGTGGGAGCCGGGAACTGGGTACGGGGTCCCTGCGGCGCATCTTAAGCACCACCTCCGAGAAATAGCTCGAGAAAACGAAAGACACCGACTTCACCGCCTCGGTGCTGCTCCGGATCCCGAGTCCACAGCGTCTCCGGCCCTGCACGCCTTGCGCTCCAGCCACATCCGAGGGGGAGGGGGCCGGGGACTCGCGCGCGGGGCCGCTGCCGCGAGAAGGGGGTTGGCACCGCCCACGCCGGCAGACCGCGAGGGGCGGAGCCGGGCGGCGCGCGCCCGGGGGCGGGGGAGGGGCCGCGGGCCGCGCTGGGCTCGCTGGGAGCCCGAGCTCAGACCGCGGGGAAGGGCGGTGGCAACTGCGGCACTCACAGTTCGCGGGGTGGCGCCCGGTGGTCCCCCGAGGGGAGGGAGAGGGAAGGAGGACGCAGACAGCGACCCGGATCGTCTCCGCGGCGGCGTTTCTGCTTCGCCGCAGCAGCGCTGGCGCCAAAACCGGACTCCGCCCACTTCCTCGCTCTGGGGGTGGGTGTCTCCAAAGCCCGGGAAGGGGGATGGGGAAGAAAACTTAGTTGGGGAAGAATCGGGAACTAAGAACGGCGCCCCTTTCGGGCCCCCCGAGGCTGGACCCCCCAAAGGTACTGGCCAGGGTTAGGCTGGTGGAGCGTGAAGCGTCCTCTGTTGACAATAAGCCGCTTCGGGTATTCCCTGAGGGGACGAGTCAGCCCTGTGCTCTGGGGAAAGGGGTGGGGAAGGAGAAGCGCAGTGGGGAAGGGAGACGAGTCTTTACGGCGGGAGGACGCGAGGTGTGCGCATTCTCAAAAGCACTGCCGAGGGGGCTGGGACCCTAGACTGGATGAAGGCCCACCCAACAGCTTTCATTTCAAATTGCGCGACCGTTTCTCACCTGCCCTGCGCTAAGGCGGGGGTGGACTCAAATCCCAGCGGAGGAAATACGCTGACACGAGCCTCTGGCAATTCACTGCTCCCACTTACGCAAGTGACGTCAGGCCCTCCGCCGGCCGCGAAGGAGGGGGTAGTACGCACTTGGCGCAGGGAGGGCGTAGAGCGCTCCCGCCATTGGCGGCGGTTAGGACGTTTACGTAACGGCCTGACGTAAAGACGCTTTGGCGGGCGGGGGGGCCGGGGGAAGGTTCTAGAAAAGCGGTGGCAGGCGCCCCAGCGGCAGTAGCAGCAGCGCCGGCTCGCCGTGTGGAGGTGTCGCTAGCGTTGTTGTTTCTCCAGCGGCGGCAGTTCTCACTACAGCGCCAGGACGAGTCCGGCTCGCGTTCGACCGCGGAGAGCTGTCTCATCTCGCTCGGCTGCGGGCAATCGGGCTGAAGCGACTGAGTCCGCGATGGAGGTAACGGGTTTGAAATCAATGAGTTATTGGAAAGGGCATGGCGAGGCCGTTAGCGCCTCGGTGGAAGTTCGCCCCCCGTCTCGCGGGGGAGCGGCGGCGAAAGGGGGCCGCTGCGGACGCGGTGGGTTCCCGGGCGGATCTGACGAGGGGCCGGTGGGTCTCGGGGTGTATGTCTGAAGAGGGGTCGCGTGCGGGCGCCTGTTTGTTCGGCACGCTCCCCACTCTCAGCCTCCCGGCGCCATTTCCCTCTGCTGGGGGTTGGGGGATGGGGACCTTCCACATGGCGGGCGCCGCGGCGCTCCAGTGAGGCGCGGCGCGCAGCGGGCAGTTCTGACCACCTTGCTCCGGGGAGGCGGGTGTGGGGGCCCCGGCCGCCCTGCGTGGGAGCGTTTCGGTTGGGCTCCGGGCCCTGCGGAGCGAGGCTGCGGAGCTTCCCCTCCCCCTCTCCCCGGATTTGGCGGCCGCCATTTTCATTCTCCTCCTTCCTCGCCGCGTTTTTCTCTTCAACCGTCTGATCCCTGCTAGTCCCGCTCCCGCGGCAAAGAATGGAAGCGGGGAGCTATTTTCCTCCCTCCCCGGGCCGGTTTCACGCGGTTTCGGGGGGGATTCCGAGTGTTTCGGGAGCTTCGCGCTTTAGAGCCCTGCGCACCTCATTAGAGGCGCTCTCCCGTCCTCTCGATGAAATGGCGCCATTGCGCTCGGAAGCCACCGCGGGGAGCGGCGGGGGGGCGGCCTGCCGGCCGCTGCGCGCCGCGCACGGCCTCGGGGCAGAGCGACCCGGGCTGTCGGGCCCGGTCCTGCGGCGACCCCAGTGACAAAGGGACGTTTTCCGTTCTAGCCCTTAGCTGGAGTAACGGTTTTTTTCTGGGTCTGCGGTGACTAAGAAGGCAGTCGTCTCGCACCCGGTTTTAGAAATAAAACCAAAAATAGGGGCCATCAGTTCAGTGCCGATTATGAGTGGGGAAAGGTTATGGGGGGGTTCGTTTCAGAAGGATTCCTTGTGAATCGTCCGATTTTTTCGTATTCCAAGAAATACGGCCAGTTATTCTTTACTACTAAAGGCGGCGGATCCTTACAACGATTAGTTAAAAATTGTGAGGAAGGGAAGTAAAAAAAATGACCATCCTTACACTTAAAACACGGCTCAGTCCTCAATGCATGTATTGCTGCATACGACAGTATTAGGCTGTGCGCTATGTGTTTGAACTTTGTTACTTGCTTTTCTCATTTGTTTGCAATCGTGGTTGATGATTACATTGGTAAGCATAAGGTCTCGAGGGGGGGAGCCTCTACCGGGGTATTTTCTTTGACCCTAAGCACGCTTATAAAATTTTGTAATCGATAGTGGACATCGGGTAAGTTTGGAGGAAATTGAGGTAAGTAATGAGCTTTTGCTTTTGTTATTTGTAAAAAACGTAGTGCTTTGTGCTTTCAAATTGTAATAATTTGTTGGGTTTTAAAATGTATTTTTCTGACAATTGGGTATTTAGAATAAGTAAAAAAATTAGCTTAAGAATCCAAATATCACTATGGCAAATAACTAATACACTTTTGATAGTTTGGTGGTATTTAAATGTATCAGAAGTTAGTTTGATAATTTGTTAATCTTTAAATTTTTTTTCAGATTCCTGAAAGCAGTTAACTGCAGGAAAACAATCTCTGAATTGCTTATTGTATTTTTTAAGTTGATGGGAGAATGTCATGCATGGAGGGAAGAGACCTCTTTAGAACTAGGTTGAGAGCTGTCATGTTATTTGTTGGGCATAAAATTTTTCCTGTTACATAGAAAACTGCATTTGATGTTTTAGTTGTATTACACACTCGTAACTGTTGGTCTTGGACAATAGATTTACTCTGGTTTCTGAATACTTTTTTTAAAAAAACTTTTAGTTTAGTCATTTGGAAACCAAATGACCACCAATCCTTCCTTAATTGGAAGCCCAAAATTCATTCAGTACTGTTAATGCAACATATTTGCTTGCTGACTTCATGGGGATTGAAAGAGTTCAGCTCAGGCTTTTTTAGTGTTTGCTTGTAAAATTAGAGGCACGTATACCGTATAGTTTGCCAGATAACCAATAAGCTTAATGAACTTAAGCATTCTCATTTTTTTTTTTTAAATGAGAATGACTCAGTGAAGGGTAAGTGGTGGTACTCACAGTGGTCATTAAACATTTTTACAGTTTTTGAAAAGTGAGATGATTACAGTGAATATATATGCTGATGTATATCATAGTTGTTTGCCCCATAGTGATTTCAGATTTTTTCTGAGTTGTCAACCAAAATACTGAAATGTGAGTGCCCAAAAAGTAATGTTAATACTTTCTAGGGTGTAGTTAAGCTTTAGTTGGTCATAAAAATCAGTTGTCATTTGGTCAGAGAGGTGAATTTTAAGGATGCTTTGTCACAATATATTGGACATTTAAATTTTTACCCCCAATAAATAGTTGGTAAAGCGGGGGAAGGATTTTTATTGTGATACATTTGAACCTCCACCAGAGGGAGCTATGAAGGAAACTAATTATTAGACCATTTAAATCCTGAAATGGTAAACTGGGTTGTAGTAATGAACACCAACTATTTTTTTATTAAAAATATTTAAACTGAGTAAAGTGTACTTACCTGTTCTAGGATGTAGGGCTGAACACAAATTCTGATAAGAATCCTTTAACCCTTCAATGACCAGGGAATAAATTTGCTTCGTTCTCTTCACGAAGTTTTTTTGTTTTGTTTTTTCTTAATTGATATTAAACGTATTTGAAATGTCAAGTAACTTTAGATCAAGCATTTTGACTGAAACGTGTGTAGTTCAGCTGACGCAATTTTTGGTGTAACACAACTAATATACAGTTTAACATATGGTTTAAATTTGATGTAAGTTTTTTTTTTCCCCTCCAGAAAACTTTAGAAACTGTTCCTTTGGAGAGGAAAAAGGTACTCTGCCAGCAGGTCACCTTATATTTAAGAATTTAATTCCCTGCATATACAAAGAGAAAATGTAAATAAAAATTGAAATGGTGTTTTCCTTTGCAGAGAGAAAAGGAACAGTTTCGTAAACTCTTTATTGGTGGCTTGAGCTTTGAAACCACAGAAGAAAGTTTGAGGAACTACTATGAGCAATGGGGGAAACTTACAGACTGTGTGGTACGTTAAATATGCAAAAGTGCCTTCACATACTAATGCTTCAACTATTGATCTCCTGTGTTTAAAATTCTAAGTGAATCCTGGAGAAATTACTTTTAAGTCTGTTGTTCATTAAAAACTGCTTTTAATCATCAAGTAAGCAGATTGAAAGCTAAAGCTTCCCCTTCTGTTTTGAAGGTAATGAGAGATCCTGCAAGCAAAAGATCAAGAGGATTTGGTTTTGTAACTTTCTCATCCATGGCTGAGGTTGATGCTGCCATGGCTGCAAGACCTCATTCAATTGATGGAAGAGTGGTTGAGCCAAAGCGTGCTGTCGCAAGAGAGGTGAGTATAGTATAACTGAAGACAGAGTGTAGTTTTGAAATAACTTTTCTGAATTTATTCTGGCTCAGTGGGTTTTCTTTACTAAAGTTATGGTGGTTGTCCTAGACTCACTTATTTTTGAAAAGACTAGTGTCTTTTTTACAAAGACACTAACTAGTCTTCGCTTTACCACCAGGAGGATAGAAGTCATTTATGGTACCCAAAGAAAAGATGCTTTCTGTCATGTTTAATTTTTTCTGTCATGATGACTTACCCTCCCCCCCCCCCTTGTTATTATAGGAATCTGGAAAGCCAGGGGCTCATGTGACTGTGAAGAAGCTGTTTGTTGGTGGTATTAAAGAAGATACTGAGGAGCATCATCTTAGAGATTACTTTGAGGAGTATGGAAAAATTGATACCATTGAGATAATTACTGACAGACAGTCTGGAAAGAAAAGAGGCTTTGGATTTGTTACTTTCGATGACCATGATCCTGTGGATAAGATTGTGTGTAAGTGTATAAGCCCCAAGATGTGTGCATTTTCATAAATTAAATTTTGGGTATGCTAATGCTTATATTTAAAAGTAAATATTTATATAAGTTATAGTATGGCTGCTTTAATGGAGTCTGAACTTTTCCTTCCAGTGCAGAAATACCATACCATCAATGGTCATAATGCAGAAGTAAGAAAGGCTTTGTCTAGACAAGAAATGCAGGAAGTTCAAAGTTCTAGAAGTGGAAGAGGAGGTAACTTTAATTCCACTTTTTTATTTTAAAATTTTATTTGTGTAAATAACTTGTTACTAATTAGGCCATTTGTTGTAGGCAACTTTGGTTTTGGAGACTCGCGCGGTGGTGGTGGAAATTTTGGACCAGGACCGGGAAGTAACTTTAGAGGAGGATCTGGTAAGTTTTAAGTTCTAAATGTTAGAAGGGTAAATGTGCTTAATTAAAAACTGTGACTTGCATTTGATTAGAATCAGGAAATCTGACCTAATTTTAAGAGGTTCTTTTTTTAAGACTTTGTAAGTAGGTGGAGTATTCTGATTTGGCCAGGCAAGAGGTAGTAGTTAAAAAGTTAATCTTGCTCTGGCTGGTGTGGCTCAGTGGATTGAGTACCTGAGAACTTAAAGGATTGCCAGTTTGATTCCAATTCAGGGCACATGCCTGGGCTATTATAGGCCAGGTGCCCCA